ACGAGGACGGCGGCGGCGGCGCGCAGACGACCGAGGCGCTCGCCGTCACTTGCGGCTGCTTTGGAGGAGCGGAGCGGTCGGCGGCCGAGCTGGAGCGGGGGACTTCGACGCCGTCGGCCTCGACACCCACGCTGACGCCGCACTTGGCGAGGCCTCCTCCCCTGTTATGAGGAGCGGGGGCATATGCGGCACACAAGCGCGTGTGTATGTCTTGCGCCCCCCAGCACGTGTTTCTGTCGTCTCCATGTGCATCTTCTAACGCAACCCTGACGCAACCCCGTCCGTTGCTTGTTTTGGTCCCTGTCCACAGGGAGAGATGGTTGTGTATTGATGTATCCACCGGAAACTCTCGCTCTCTTTGCCCCACCCTCGAACCCCCTGCCCCTCCCCGCCACGCGCCAGGTAAGGTAAGGTAAGGTAAACGTCTCCACACACAAAAAGTGGTGGGGCAAGGGGGGGCGACCCTCGCATCTCCACGCCCGGACACGGGCAGGAGCCCCACGGCATTCAAAGTGCAAGCACCGGCCCGGTGCCGTGGGTGAGCAACCTGCACCCCACTCCTACTCCTATAACACAACCCCCACAGCGTGGTCGTCTACGTGTTCAGAAACACAGCGAGGCGAGGGTGAAGGGGTAGTACCCGGGGTAAGGGGCTGTGTGGGGCTATCTGTGACTACTCCATCTAGCCTGGGGGGTAGCAGGAGGGGGGGGGCAGAGGGTAAGATATGGGTGAGGCCAGCTACAAGTCGGACGCCCTCCCGTCGTCGTCGGAATACTCCTCGGAGCGGTCGGCGTCCTCGTCGTCGTCCTCGGTCTGCATTGCCTCGCCAGCCGTGAACCTGAACACGGCGTCGGCCGGCGCCGAGGCGCCGGCGGCCGTCATCAGGTGCATGACCATGCGGTCGCGGCATGCCGCATCAATCTTGCCGCGCCCGGCCAGCTCGTTCGCGAGCCAGTCCGGGGCGACCGTCGTCGCCACGGTCCCCTGGGGAACTGTGGCGTACACCTTGCTGGGGCCGCGTCGATACCCGTCGTCCCTCTCCGGGGGCAGCGAGTATTCGACTCCTATATTGGACCCGGCCTGGCTGCGCGCCTGCGCAGCTGCAGACCGCAGCCCGGCCACGTACTCGATGTTCTCGCCACTTTGCGGCCGTGTGATTTACGACCGCTCTCTACAGACTACACGCTACACGTACTGACGACCCAGGCCTCGTGGCTCGTCAGCTTTTGTTGCTCATGTGGTGCATTCACTCACACCACCGCAGTACAATCGATTGAGTCCGGGGGGTTTTATGCGTATGATTGTGAGGGCGTAGGGCCCCGCCCCAGGACAGGCTCTGGCGTAAGGATGGAGCGCTCTGGTGCCGAGGAGAGCCGCTGGCACGAGGCCCGTGATGACTGTGCGCCGCATCACTCCCTCAGCGCCACCCACTCCGCCTCCCAGCAGGCCGACCCACGGCTCGCGGCAAAGCAGCCCGGATGGTACGCCTGCAGCTGCGGCGTGCGGACGGTGGGCGGCAGCAGGCGCGTGCTGCTCGGCCCGGCCGGCGCGAGCAGCCGGTCGCACCTATTCGCGCCGCTCGTGGTGTGAGGAGGCGCCGCGGTGTGTTGCCGGCTCGCCAGGTCGCTGGCCGCACATCGCGCAACGCTCGGTCCACAGGCCGTCCAGAGAGCAGAGCCATCGGATGAGCCGCGGTAGCCTGCCACCGCCGAGGAGGCGTCAGCGCGAGGGCCCCTAGTGTAACTTTTATAGCCCCGTTCTGTTTTTATGAACCTTTTTATCATAGGACTTTGTTCTTCTCGCCTTTTTTTTATC